CGAGATACAACTAATATAAAATAAGGAATCTGAGGGTGCAAAAAAATAAAAATATTGAGAAAATCGACTTTAAAGTTGTCCAAATGAAGTCCTTAGTAATGCTTATTACTAATCAAAAATTAAGTTTTTATATATTTACAGTAGAAAATTTGCGAAATATCTTCGTGGAACATGATCTTTACTTAATATCCTAATGATTTTTGGCATAAAAGAAAAATTGACAATTTTGACCCATACACTGTATTGTTGGCTATTGCTACAAATATACCCCAGCGACTTAAGACTGGTTTTGTGGTCCATGATGGGACATCATTCATGTAAATCGTGTACATTTACAAGTGCATAATCACTGAAAAGGTTGACTTACTATGGTCATTCATTACATATCTGTCCTTGGGACTCGTGATTGGGACAACTGGTTCACCAGACTCTACAAAAACAAATAAAACTTGGTGGTCAAACCGAAAACACTTCAAAGTCAAGCTTCATAACAGGCTGAAAGGAACAGTTCACCCAGCTGAAAACGTATTCACCCTCAGGCCATCCAAGATGTAGATGAGTTTGTTTCTTCATAGGAACACATTTGGAGAAATGTAACATTTCATCACTTGCTCACCAATGGATCCTCTACAGTGAATCAATTCACATCTTGTGAAGTGAAAATCATTAAGCCAATTTTTAACTTTAAAATGTCGCTTCCGGCCAAATAATAATGCATCCAAATGTTAACGTAACATATTAGTTTAGAACTTTTTTTGAACCTTTTTTACTTGTAAACGGTGATTAATCTGTGCATATCTCTCTCCTGATTCAGATTAGACTATTTTTTCACTGGAGATAGCAATACTATATATATTGCTATATTATAGATATTTTAGCCAAAGGAAATGGTTTTAAGTAAAAAAAAAAAAAAAAGCCTTAATGAAATTGTTCCAAATTTGTTCTGATGAAATCAAACTCATCTATATCTTGGATGGCCTTAAATCGCAGGCGATTCATTGCCGATTTTGAACGCGATTTTGTGTAGCTTGTCAGTGAACTACAGCTCTGTGTAGTAAATGGCGCTCCATCTGAACGCACGTGCTGGAGATTTACTACTAATCACAGGAGCGGCTTTACTGACGAGATGCGCATGAAAATCGCATTCAATTTTTTGCACAGCCCTACCTAAGGGTGAGTACATTTTCATCTAAATTTAATTTTTGGGTGAACTACTCCGTAAAATACATTTATATCACCACTATGAATCAAATGATATGCTGCACGGCAAAACTAACTGAACATCCTCAAAAGAATGTTGTTTTTGAGTGGTTATGTGTGGAAAATGAAGACTCCGCCAACCTCTGAGTCGGAGGCGTGTGGGTAAACTGAAATAAACGTCCTCCACGTGGAGGTGCAGTGCGCTGTAAAACTCTCGACATGCCTCCTCTCCTTTCTCCTGTAGATGATTCAGCAGCTCCGCCAGCCTGATACAGGTGGGCACATCCAAATCCCTGAACTAATGTTAGGGAAAATCATTATTGGAGAGAGAAATAACATACAAATTTTGACGATTGGACTGTTTATCTGTATTAAGTGCTGCAGACATGATATCAAAACCCGGAAGGCTAATTCACCATGGGTTCCCTCGAGATTTTCCTATGGGGTTTTTCCAGTGCAGGAGTAAAATAAGGTCTGTGGTAAACACTGCTTAACAATACTTGAACGTTTTGTTGTACAGCTGCACACTCTCACACAACAAACGGTCTTATGTGGTTATTTATTACGAACATGTTTTTAAAAATAAAAATAACTGCTTCAAAATTAGCATTTTCAGTATAAGTGTGTGTAATATACGTTGTAGAGCAATAAGTACAAGTATAGTAAATTTGTGTTTACCACAGAGCTTGTTTTACTCAGAAACCCCATTATAAAACCCCATAGGAACATCTTGATGTAACCCGTGGTGAATTAGTCAGACGTTTTTGACGTCACGGCTGCAGCACTGCAGATACTAAGGGTGGAGCTCTTACCTTGGAGGCCTCCTTGTCAGTCAGGATCTGTGGGTAGATTCTGTTGAGCTGCAGGATGAGTTTATCCACCAGTTCTGTATCTAGACGTCGGTCCGATTTCAGGAACCGGCTGTCTATTCGCAGCTGTTCATGGAAGCTCTCTGTCATTTACACAGAAATAAAGCCATACAGGTTTAGAACAACATGTGAGTGAGTAAATGATCAAATTGTAATTTTCTGGATTAACTATTCCTTTGAATAATCCCTATTTGTCTAGTAACAAATATCTAAATACTGTGCACATTTCAGCCAGAAGATGGAGCCACTTCATAAATGTTACATTGAGCAGAGACACTGGGAACGCAAGACTGTCAAACATACTTCTGAGGTACATTGAGTTATTTGAATGTCTTTTAGCCAACCAAACGCCTTAAAAGTTCGGAAATAATATATTAACGGATTATAGAGCTTCTGAAATGTAACATATTAAGCAGGGTAGACTTTAATGCACCGTAATGGAGCACAACGACAACTGTCGAAGCAAAACTTGTCGAAGCAGCTCAAGTTTGTGAGCAACGTGTAACTTATAAGGATCCTATAAAGCACACTTTATAAAGTAAAAATTATAGGTTTATAGTTCATATTTATACTTCACATCAGCAGTAACAAATAGAAGTTTGACTGACCTCCCATTTTGAAGTGCCCTCTGCTGTCTTTTGTTTGGAAACGCCCATTGCATTGTATGTGGAGGGGCGGAGACCATGATGAGAATTACCGGAAGTTCCGATCAAAATTAGGAAAAAGTCACATACGGAAGTAAAAGCAAATGCAGTGTATATTTAGTGTAAAGTCTAGATTCAATTCCCTTAGTATCAGAGATTAAACACTTACTGAATATGAGAATATTAGATACAGTAATCAGTGAGCGCTACACTATCTAAAACGATTTTAATAATAAATATAATTTATATAATACAAATAAATAATATTAATGTTTATAGATGCACGTTCGACCATATAGCCTATAATAGACGGTTTAAAGGCAGATTACTTTCTTTTGTAACAACCCATATACCATATGTTTTTACACTGTACATAAATAAATAATGTCCTACCAGTGTCACCAACTCAGTTCCGAGATAACGGGAAATGTGTTGTTGTTGTTTAGCCCAAAATATAAGACTTTCGAAAATAAATAAACCTTACCCAAGAATAATTGCTATTGCTAATATCAGCTATATTTCCTAATAAATTTATGTTGAGCAGGAAATATTATTTCATGAATATAGTCGAGTGAAAAGATGCCAACAGTGAAGCATCCCAGCACTGTTGGACTCATGGAAATCTGTCTGACCAAATTTGAGGACCAAAGCTAATTTTCAACAACTAATATACAACCTGAAGCAAACAGTAATATTTTATATTAGTTTATTTATTAATTTTTTTGCTACTTTTTTTGTCAATGAGAAATGTTAAGACAGACATGGGCCTATAATGTGTTCCTCATGATAAACTACAGAGCACAAATGTTTAGAAAAAAAGCAGAACATTGACATCAGCACTGTAAAAAAAAAAAAAAAAAAACAAAAAAAACAACAACAACAACAAAAAAAACACAGGCGAGGCAGTATAGCTTACATTGTACCTGTAAGATTTCAAGTAGAAATGCAAAGAGGCAGCACATGTGCCAGTAATAATGCATACAAACCTAATCATTAATACTGAACTGATAGCCAAGGTTATGAATAAATAATAACAAACACGTGAGGTCATTGCATAAAAATGTGTAAAAATAAATTCAAAATGTCATATAAAGCTATGACATGGCTGATGAAGCGGTTTCAGCAAATAGAAAACTATTGCATACACTCCAGAAACAGCACAAAATTGCACTTAATTTGTAGTCAAACGAAAAAGAAAAGAAAAAGGTCTTTTAAAACTTTAAAATGTCTTAAATTTGAAATGACACTAATGTTCTGAGGCAAAGTTTTCTGCTTGCTGAAATACAAACAAATAACAAAATTATTAGCAAGGCTACGCATAGGAAAATAATGACTACCAATATCTACAGACAGCCATGATGACCGCCATCAGAAATCATTACGTCCTCAAAGGAATGTATGATTTTAACACACCTAATAACATTTAAAATCTCCTAAACGAGCAATCTGAGTTGACATTCCGAAAATGTTTAATTATTGTCCAAATTAGATGTGGGCCAAGTGGGCTAGATCTATAGCGAGACTGACAGAAATACTGAAGACTATGGCTCTTAGAATTGTTCATCAAACCAAAAACAAATAGTTGCATAAAAGGCACAGGAGGTCTTATGAGAGGGTTATACAAAACAGATAATCAATGTCTAAAACAAATATGTATTGCAATGTAAAATACAACATGCTGACCTTAATGCAGTATTTGGCAAAAAAGTAGAAAGTATTCCAATTTGGAATTGATATTGATTTTTATGTCTTGAATTTAACAAATGCTTGACCCACTATGAAAATTGACTCCAAACTTTTCAGTCAAAGTCAAACTTATTGTTCCTTAAGTGGAGTTACACTACATGATAGCAAGATAATGTTCAGTTAGAATGTTTGACTATTGAACAGAACAAGAAACAAATTTATAGGCCTTATTAACATAATCGTTCTCCCTGGAATATGCTTAGAACCTGACAGTTAAGCATAAAAGACTATAAACAAACCACAGTTCTTATATTATTTTTGTTTTTCAGTTAAATACGTAAAATTCGCAAGAACAAAACAAAAAAATGTGCCAAGTATACTGAAATGTGCATCTCTTACATAACTAATGCACTAAAGGTGCACATTAAACAAAAATAAAGCAGAAAAAAATACCACAGTAACAGTCAGAATCATGATTACATAGATCAGTTTGCTTTACATGTGAGCTTGTGTGTTTTCTTGCAGCCACATCCAGGGACAAATTTCTTGTTTCCATAATTGGAGCAGACATGTGTATTCTGGACGTATGTGCAGAGTGAAGGAAGAGGGAAATAACCGTTTGCGGATAATCTCCAGAGCTAATAAAATTACTGCAAAATTGAGAAACAAAACGATCATCAGAAATATTACATCACAACTGATCCAAATGTATTGTAAATAATTAATATATCTTAAGTCAAGCTGATCACACTGGACATAGTGAAAGTTACCGTCAACACTGAGACAGGTTAGACCCATTAGTAAACAGCAAAACATGGAAGACTCATTTTTCCAGATGCAATGGACTGCAGGAAGCAGAAGACTCAACAGACAGCATGCCAACTAATATAAACGGTTAAAACTGAGAGCAACAGATCATGCACGCTACAGTGGTTCAGAGTCACACTGTAAAGACAATGTGTTATGCTGGCTGAAAGGCTAGATGAAATAGTATGAACAAAACCAAAAAAAGACATGGATGACAAAGTGTGCAAAAAACTCTATCATTCTAGACATCATCTATGACAACTCTCAATTTTGTCATATTTTTAGCCAAAAAATCTGTAGCATCAACTATGTCCTTTAGGGTTGCAACCTGGATTGCAAAGCACCCATCAGGCTCAGTAAAGTGCGTCTCTGTCGGGATTACACAGATTTATTTGCACTGACACAGAGATTAACAGACTAGCTTTGTGAAACTGGGTTTAACTCAATGACAATCAATGCTGGTTGGGTGAAAGTAGAAACATTGGGCTCAGACATTCAGAGAGAAAAGACAAATTTAGACAAACGTAAATGTATTTTACCACGTTTAGACATTTTCCAAGTATCGGTTCCTCAATACTTGTTTATAGATATCTAAGTTTCAGCGAGTTTAGTTGCAACTGAATCTAATTTATCTGTTTGTACAGTGTGCTCTGGTTATATACTAAACAATGTCAAATGTGGTAGGTCATGCAGTTATGCCAGAACTTTGCATGCACTACAACCTGCTTTCTTTCAAAAAACTAGTACTGTAAGTAGTACAAATGTCAAGAGTACTGGTACTCCTCGATAATAAGTCACAAAAGAGACTCAATTTGGTATCCAAATATTGGAATTAGCCTATTACAAAAAAAATTATTGAAGTAATTTCTTTTACTTGTAGTGATTGTGATAACTTTAGTAGATAGTATGGCATTGCCAAGCCATCCAATCTCTCCAGGTAGATTTATAGGAGAAGGACTGACTGACTTGTATTAATGAAGCCATCAGAACTGTTAGCATGAACAGTGACATGCTAGCATTGTTTTATCCCAAGCACACATACAGTAAAAGGAATGTTAGTTATGCTGATGAGTGACAGTTACACACAGGTGTTAATCGGATCCAGTGTCACACAGAATTTTATACTTCTCACTGCAGAAAACCGCAGGACTTCCAATGAGGCCGTGTGGTTGCGGTCGGTTCTTACAGGGAAGTCTAGGACTTACATGGGGACTGGAAAATGATAAGGGTCCCCTGCCACGGCCAGATGAAGCCTTCCCACGGCTGCCTGGCCCAGCACCGGATCCTCTTCGGGATTGCTCGTGGTCAAACTCCAGATCCTCCAATCGCTGTGTAAGGGCCAGTTTCTGCTGGATGGCCATACGCAGGAGGGAGTTCAGAGTCTTCTTCTCATCTTCTGCTGCAGCCAGCTGCCTCTGCATGTCGTCCAATTGTGTTACATATTCATCACACCTAAAGAATAAAAGGAGAAAGAGGGATAGAGCAGGAGAGATTTAGTTCCTGGATTAAGCAACCCTACTGTTTCTGGTTATTTGGTTGGGGTGAGCCAGACAAAGAAAGCTGGAAGAGAAACAACTTTCAGTTGTGTTCCCGCACTACCTGGTGGCGAACATTGCCCTGAGAGAGGAGAATGTGGCGGCATCTTCTTTAAGAGCCTTCAGCTCGTTCCTCAACTTCATTATGGTTTCGGTGACCATGGCCTTTTCATTCTCATATTTGCTCTTTAGGTTTGCCAGGGCAACCTCTGCTGTCTGAAAGAGGACAGAACCACACCACAGTTCAGAAAAAGCTCTTGAAAAACTAGCAGTCTGTTTGGATGGTCTACAAGATCAATATTCTGGCGTCATATACACCCATGCCAAGCTAATCGTTCTTATTCTTACATGTTTATTGGCCTTGAGCACAGTCCTCAGGGTGGCAATCTGTTCTCGCTTGGTGCTCAGCAGGGACTTGAGCTTCAAAATCTCCTCCATGCAAGCAGCTTGGTCTTTATCCGCCACTGCGGCCAACTCTAGAGAAGCAATTCTTTGCCTGGATAGTACTGTGGTACGATCCACTGCTTTCTGCAAGTGGCGTATCTGATCGCGAATTATTGCTACTAGGTTGTAGATGTCCATTGGTTCAGGACGTGGATCTTCTCTGACTGGTGTCCCAGAAGTCGAGCTGTCAGCGGCGGTGGAGTTGGATCTCGGTGTCTCGGCTGTGCTGTCACTGGTTTGCATCAACGTAGACTGAAGATCTTTACCTTCGGTCTTGTTTCCTTTACCCTCTTTGTAGAAATCGAGCATGACACGATTCGGGGTTTCGTTGTTGCACATGCAGACATGGTGGTAGAGGTTTGCAAGCTCTTCACTAAAGGCAACAAGCTCATCCTGGGCAATGCTGAGACTGCCTTCTGTCTCGCCAGCAACTGCACTCACTTCCTTCAGCTCCTTTTCTAACCGAGCGACTTGATCACGGTCTGCACGGCTGCTGCTCTCCAAATGAGACACTTGAATACTGAGGTCACGCACGTGTCCCTCCAGTCGTGCCCGTACCTCCTCATGCTCGGTCTTCATCTAG